ATGCTCCAAGATCACTCTAACACTCTCTCACTAGAACTCCCCTTTGGTGTTTTAGGTTGAAACCCTAGAGAAAGAAAATGTTTCTTCTCCAAAAACCAGCTCTCCTTTCTCTCTCCCCGTTGCTGTCTTCATATTTGCCCGAAAGTGACCAGTTCACGGCCATGAACACCTAAACGCGTCCGTGAACTCAGCGTCATCCGAAACGCACCGTTTCACTGTCTTGGGTTCACGGTCAATGGCCATAGTTCACGGTCTTAGAGACCGTGAACTGCCTTGTCGTCAGTAACTTCAGGAACCTCGCTGGACGCCTCGGTATTCACAGTTTTTGGTCGAATTTCACGGTCTTAGGAGACCGTGAACTGCCTCATCCGGGACTTCGGACTTTTCTTCGGTTCTTGCTCTTTTTGACCTCCAATTATCCCAAAATTCGACCTTGACTCTTCCACACGTGCTAGGACCTGAAATGTATCAAAACAAGCACAACCTAGCGTGAAATATTCGAGGAACGATGAAATACTAAGCTAAACGAATAAGAAATGAGGGGTAAAATGTGTACATTTGGGCCCGAATCAACCGGCGTGGACCGTTAGTGTTTATAAAAAAATCTAGTTAGCACTTATGTGGTTTGTGCCAGATTTGTCATATTGAATAAGTTTAGTACACAAATGTCACGCAACACATATAGTTCGTGCCAGATTTGCCATATTGATTAATTTAGAACACAAATGACACTTTTAGAATAGTTTGGGCTTCCTAGTGGAATTAGGTCTTAAATATAAATAGAATTCTCTATGTGAAATAGTTGTGAACTCTTTAAGGAAATGTTAGATGCTCATGATATCTTGGCCCGAACATTTAGATACACAAAATAAAAATTCAATGAATACTATGCACAATATGTAAAGTTGAATCAATAATAAAATTGAAAGTTGAAACTGTTGGTCAATCCCATATCAAATTGTCGAGAATATTATATCCGAACTGATGATGAAATCACAACTCTTATTATTTGATATTATTGCTAATCCTGGCCAAACTTACACTAAATCTTGTCATCTTCTATTAGACGAGGCTCTGATAATAGATAATTAGGACAAATAAATATAAGTAGAAACTCAAACTCACAGAAAAAATAAAAAATAAGAGAATACTAGTTTCACCTAATAGATTTTTCTCTTCCAAAATCCTTCTACCTTGAGGTTTTATAATTCTTGGAGTTCATAAATTTTTTTAAAAAATAAATATATATTGACTAGAAGTACGCAAATCTCATATTGTAACCAAACATGAACTTGAATCATAATCTAACAAATATGAGATTTTTGGATAAAATCTCAACCCAAATACTACCCTATAGTGTTATCCATGGTTTTCACGCGGTCGACATGCCACCGGTTGAACCTGGTTCAATCGGTGCCGGTAATGAAATCGACATGATTGATCTACGAATTTCTAAGTAAAATGACGTCGTTTTAGTGAATTTAAATATGAGTGCATGTAGGGTTGTCCATTTGGTTTTAACCAAAACCAAACCAATTGGAAAGCTAATGGTTTCAGTTTTTTGGTTTTAAATCAATAAGCAACTTAATGGTTTTGGTTTGGTTAAAACCGAAAAACCAATAGAAATCATTAAGAAACCAATGAGAATAAAATTATTTATCAACAAATATTTTTGTTTTGTTTCTTTTGACACGCATGCCAACCAATAATTTGTAATGGCCATTTACCATTATTATGACGTTTATTCAATAAAAATGAGGGAAATAGGAATAAATATGAGTGTATGAGTACATGTTGGTTTTTTGGTTATCCAAACCAAAACCAACACCATTAAGGCCCTTTATTGGTTTTTGGCACCAAAAACCAATAAAGGCCTTAATGGTGTTGATTTTGGTTTTTGGATTTTCATACTTAATTGTTTGGTTAACCAAACCAAACCTAATTGACAGGCCTAAGTGCATGTAAGTTTATTTGAAATATCACATTTCTCTTCATATATGATTTATAAATGATTAAATTTATTTGACATGAATGATTTTGTCATTTCTACATAAAATATTAATCGGTATGAACCGGCACAAATCAGTTATACTAATGGCCAACCATTTCATTTGCTAAACGGGCGCAACGGTATAATCAATTTCACATTTGCCATACCAATTGGGTCGTGGCAGCCTATATGATTCGCACACAATTCCAAATTCCCAATCAGTGGCGGGAAAACTGAAAATTGGAGGAAGGAGCCCACAACCTTTGTCCACGGTAGGCCCATGGGCCCGTTATAACAATAGTATGTTATTCGTAGGGCTGTAAATGAGTCGAGTCGAGTCGAGTTTTACCCCAGTTTGAGCTCGGCTCGTTAATAAATGAGCCGAGTCGAGTCGAGCTCGAGCTAGCTTGTTTATTAAAATCTTAACTTCTATGGTACTTCATTTTATATATCATGATACACATGATTTATTTTGTTAGCTAATCTCATATTATACTTTGTTGGTATCATATATCTTAACGAGCCGAGTCGAGTCGAGCTCGAGCTAGCTTGTTTATTAAAATCTTAACTTCTATGGTACTTCATTTTATATATCATGATACACATGATTTATTTTGTTAGCTAATCTCATATTATACTTTGTTGGTATCATATATCATTTAGTTAATAAATTTTAACTACTCCAAATCATGTTATTTCATAGTATCAAAGCAATTTATGATGCATAATTTCTTTTTGAAATAGAAAATAAGATATATTTGCTCACATACTCAAAGTGTTAAACTTTATATATGGTGATATATATAATTTTAAAAAAGAAGATAGAAAAAAACTCTTAGCCTCTCTCTCTACCTTTACTTTCCTCTCGCTTCTCACTAGAGTTTCAATTTCAAATTGGAGATGGGGCTGCTGTCGGCTTCTACCATGGGACCGACGTTGCCCTAGAGATTTTCATTTCCTGCTTTCCTTTTCCTTGTGCTTTCCTGTAGTGTTTGCTCCTCTTGGCTTTCTCTTTCTTTTTTCTTTTGTTGCGGTTTCATTTCCAGGCCTGTGGTTTCATTTTCTCCTCTTTTTTTCCTCCCTAGTTCTGTTCCTCTTCCATCCTTGGTGATGATGTCGTTCTTGTCTCCCTTGTGGAGATACTTTTGCTTCCCACCATTCTGGTTTTCAGATATGTGTGGATGACTCTCTTGGTAGGTGTTTGAGGGAGTCGATTTCATCGGCTCGCTTACTCCTCTCTGGTTCTTCATCTACCTCCTATTGTTTCATCCATAAATGGGGATGATTCGGAGATGCATGGACCTTTGTTGTCTTGGATGAGTTTTTAGAGGGCTTGTGAGCAAGGGAAGTTATCTTTGAGATTGGGAGTGCAGTCGTTCGCTCAGATCGGCGGGTTTCAGCCACCCCTCCTCTGTCCAAGACCCGGTTGAGCTTTTCTGGTTTGCTTGTGTGTGCAGGTGGATCTCAAAGTTGATTCTGGGTTTGGTTCTCCTCGGTGAGGTTGCTGCTGCTGCTTCGTCTCTCTTGTGGAGCCCTTGTGCTCCTCGGCGTTTGATCAAGGGTTGGCAGGGATGTCGCTGCCGGTTTTCTCTCTACAGTGGAGGATGTGAACGGCGACCTTTTCTCTGGTGATTGGGCTAGTTGTTGTTAGGGTTGATGGGGGTGGGCTTGTCCACTTGTTTTGGACTGGGGTTTGGGACTTTACGGTTTTGGGCATGTGTTGGTTCACCTCCTTTTTTCAATCTTGGTTCAGCTGGTTTTTTCCTTCCTTTCAATGTTGTTAAAACTTTGTACACCATGTTTCGTATTAATGAAACAACCAACCATCTTTAAAAAAAAAAGAGATATATAATTTAACAACCATTTGAATTAAAATCATAAGATATATATTGATTTGTCCATAAGTTGGTAATCGAGTTGGCTCTCTAGCCACATGTTAAGACATATCATGAGCTCTAAACGTGTCAGCTCACGAGTTTAGCTCAACAAACCACCGATCGAGCTAGCTCGCGAGCTTCACGAGTTGAACAAAGGTGAGCTTGTGGTCAACTCGTTTATTAACAAGTCGAGTTTCGAACGAGCTTTTCTCGAGTCGAACGTCGAGCCGCTTGCGAGTAGCTCGGCTCATTTGCAGCCCTAGTTATTCGGCCTTGATTAATCTTTGTTGTTGTTGACATCTTCACGTGACGCGCGCCACGCCACGCCACATGTTTGATTCTTTGTGAACGAGGAATATCCGCTTGCCACATCATCATTCACACGCCCCACCACGTAACTTAATCGTATTACAGCCGTTGGATCCATCTACCGGCTTGAGATCCAAGTCTGGAGTAACGTGGGACGCAAACACAGAGTAAACTTCCTCAATTATAAACCCTTTTTATTATTTATTTCTGGCCTCATAATCGATGAATTACTCCTCGATTTTGGATAAAGGCATAAAATTTGGTGGGGTTTTTCCTATTATCGGCTGCCAAAAAAACCAACCGAGCCACCACTCACCAGCTGTTAACAGAGTTCCGATCAGAGTAGTCAACCTCTTCTGCCTCTTCGCCTTCACCCTCGTCTTCTCCGCTCGCGTGCCTCGGCTTGGTTTCCACAAGGTCTGCGCTTTTACATGCGCTATCTCTTAGTTGGGAATCGGAATTCCTTTCAAAGTTTCTGAATTTGCTGTGTTTCTGTCGAACAATCGGCTGAACAGCTCACGAATTATTTCGCCTAAAATCTCTATTTCGGGTTCGTGCGGTTTTGACTTGAGATGCTTAAAATTGTTCGGCTTCGCTTCTTTTGGATGATCGAAGCAAGAGGAAGAAGAGCGTAATCTCTTGAATTGATTAGTGCGTCTACTTATTTGATTGTGATTTTAGGTGGGCAGTCAGTTAATTGAGATTCTGGCCAGTAATGGAATTGTTTGTAGAACATAGAAGTAGAAAACTTTACAGGGTTTTGTTTGGCTGGATGAAGTTTTAGCTTGTCTATTTACTTTTGTGCTGATCAGGTGCAGGAAGGGATGGCTAAGAGTTGCTTCAAGCAAGAACATGATCATGGTATGTGTTAAAGTTGAGGCTAAGGTCTGTTTTGTATGTTTCATATCAAGGTAGGTTTTGACAGTCAAATGCTGGTGTGTTTGTTTTTTCAGAGAAGAGAAAAGCCGAGGCTGCCAGGATTAGGGAGAAATACCCAGATAGAATTCCGGTGAGAATTCGGTGCTGATCATGATACTGAAACGTTAAATTTGTCTTCCCTTTACTGCTTTGCATTGATGGTTTATTAACTCTTTATGGGGGTAACTCGAGTCTAGGAATATCGCCAGCTAGATAGTTTGCGATTTAGCTTGTTATGTCGTGCTTTAGAACATGGCCTTGCGATTTTAGAAATGATCAAAGACAAATCTGAACTGGTGCAGGCATTATATTATTTTGGTATCTGCTTATTCTGGGGTCACACAACTTCATTTATCCTCAATGTATATTTTTGTTGCACGATTAAATGAGACTATTATTGCTCTGGGATGCTTAAATCAGTTGAAAGTTGAAGCTTGCTATGAATTGCCTGAATCAAATATGAAATTGTCTTGTTTTGTTCTTGGTTGCTGACTTCCCCGACGGTTCTCCTTTTGTGTTGAAGGTCATTGTAGAGAAGGCAGAGAGAAGCGAAATACCAAACATAGATAAGAAAAAGTATGTATTCTGATGATTGTCTTTCATGTTCAAGTTTACACGAGATCTCCTTCCTGTTAGATCTCCGTAGCTTCTATTAGAATGCCTCTTTTGTATATGAATTGACACTGTCTGTATTAGCAGGTACCTTGTCCCAGCTGACTTGACTGTTGGACAGTTTGTTTATGTTATCCGAAAGAGAATCAAATTGAGCGCTGAGAAGGCAATCTTTATATTCGTCGACAATGTCCTCCCACCAACCGGTAAGCACTTACCATTGCACAATTTGCTATCAACATTATGCAGTTCTGATTCTTTTCTTCCTCCCTCCCTTTGTCTTTTCCGTGTTTCTGTGGCCTTCATCCAATATAGGTGCCATCATGTCTTCAATATATGAAGAGAAGAAGGATGAAGACGGGTTTCTGTACGTCACTTACAGCGGCGAGAACACTTTTGGGACGAAGATTCAGCATTAGAGCCGTCCCAAATTGCTGCGGAGCCTCCATAAGTTCCCCTGTTTATCTATCAAGCTCGTTGGTGGGAGACACTTGTGCTGTGCATAGGGTATATTATATATCTTGTATAGAAACTTCCCAGAACTTGTCTATCTAGTTAATTATTCAAGTTGGAAAATGACTTGGCCTTCTGCCTGGCGTTGGCGTAACAATTTATCAATAAATCAAGGTAGAGCTGAAGTGCCTTCTGTGTTTGTTTCAGTTTTGCGCAAAACAAACAAATCGTTTATGACTATTCTGTACTGTTTAGTTTTCGTCCCTAACTAGTGGAAGCCCAACTGACCTCGCCCAGCCCGGTCATAAGTTAACTCTGAAGCATATTATTTCCGGCCTGTCTCCTCTCTCGAGTCTTGTGTCCCTTTCCGCGGTATATTCTCTTTTCTCCAAGCATAACTAGTTAACTACTAGCATCTCGAGTCTTGACTCCTAAGTTCTACTGCAGTCATTTTAGATCGGCGGTAAGAATCATTTTAAGTTGGGCTAATTACATCTGCTAGTAGTCCGGAAGTGATACCATTAGGGATTGAAGTATCGATTTTCTTGTTCTGGTTGCTTAATCCCTACACGTTGAATCCCAACTCCCTTGCCCTCATCCTAATCACATATACGCACATGCCACGTGGCAGCTAGAGCTGGAAGTTTGGTACCGGTATTTGGGATATATCGAATACCATACCGAATTTGTCTAAATTTTGTATTATCGAATACACGTATTATTTCTTGGGATTGTGATTGAATTTCAATTGTAATTCGGTATTAGGGATTACGAGATTGGGATCGGTATATACCGAAATACCGATCAATACCGAAATATAAGCTAGTGTGTATTTTATCCTCTCAACTAGACTCTCTCATTCACTACTACACAACCCTCAACCACAAGAGTGTCATTTAATTATATATATAGATCTTTGAGATTGACTTTCGTGTATAATTCGATATTCGCCTATGCAGGTTTGTCGCTGGTCCGATCAGTCCCCACTTTCTCCATAAGCTTAGGCCCATATCCCTACCTTCCCCTAGTGGGCTACTAGCCTCTCTCTCTCAAACTCATATTTTGGCATCATGTTCATCGATAACAAATTCTAGGACCAAATATTTTGGGATATTGTCCAAATTCAATTTATTACCCAAAATTTGATAATTTTGCTTGTGGGACATATTCATGTCCAATTTTGTTAGTTTGGGTGTAAATTGGATTGGACTCATAATATTGAAAGTCCATAGAAATAGATATCCAATTATAAAACAATTTTGTGGAAGCTCATACACTAAAGGTGACTAATTGGGTTGAAGGTAGTTCATGAATTGGTTGATGTTTTTTTTTTTTTTTTTTGTATAATCATGAGTAATCTAGACCCAATAAGTTTCATTGGGGTGTAACCCAAAATCCCAAATGAATTGAACCAAGTAAGACTTAATTCAAATCTAACCCAAACACAAAACCATTAAAAGTGCGAATGAGTCTATTTCGATCCGACTCAATACATGTGTCATATATCAATTGGGTCGAATTACCTAATAAATTGACTCATTGCCCTGGGTCCAAAAATTTTATTGTACATAGGGGCCACTTGCATAATTTCACCAGATGTTGCATAATTTATCGGATTAAGAGGTAAGACTGAGAAGCGCCTGTACAATATAGTGTGTATACTGTAGAAATGGAACTAGGCTTTTGCATTTGCAACGTACATGCATGCATCTAGCTAGCTAGCTATATAAAGGCTATAGAAGGCACATGTGACTTACAATGCAGAAACGTATTGTACACTACACATGATAGTCTTGGAGCCCTTCTAGTGTGCTCTATAGCACCCATGCTATAAAAAAAAAAAAAAAAAGGTGACCTGTTGAGGAGGTAAACCCACTAAATGACTGGTCCCACATCATTAATGGCAATCTTGTAAATAATGAATCAATGTATACAAGTGTAGGTACAACTTAAAGTTGTACCATATTGTATAGGTACAAGTTTCAGCTGTACCATTGAAGAATTTGTTTCACAAAGTGTAGGTACAACTTAAAATTGTACCATTATTATAGGTACAATTTTGAGTTGTACCATGAAGGGATTTATTAGAAAGTGTAGGTACAACTCAAAATTGTACCATATTATAGGTACAAGTTTGGGTTGTACCATTAAAGAATTTTGAGAAAGTGTAGGTACAACTTAAGGTTGTACCATTAGTATAGGTACAATTTTTAGTTGTACCATAAGGGATTTGTTAGAAAGTGTAGGTACAACTTAAATTTGTACCATGGTATAGGTACAATTTTGGGTTGTACCATAGAAGGATTTTTAGAAAGTGTAGGTACAACTTAAAGTTGTACCATGGTATAGGTACAAGTTTGGGTTGTACCATAGAAGGATTTTGAAAAAGTGTAGGTACAACTAAAAGTTGTACCATTAGTATAGGTACAATTTTGAGTTGTACCATAAAGAGATTTATTAGAAAGTGTAGGTACAACTTAAAGTTGTACCATTAGTATAGGTACCATTTTGAGTTGTACCATAAAGGGATTTATTAGAATGTGTAGGTACAATTTAAAATTGTACCATATTATATAGGTACAAGTTTGGGTTGTACCATAGAAGGATTTTGAAAAAGTGTAGGTACAACTTAAGGTTGTACCATTAGTATAGGTACAATTTTTAGTTGTACCATAAAGGGATTTGTTAGAAAGTGTAGGTACAACTTAAGGTTGTACCATTCGTATATGTACAATTTTTAGTTGTACCTTAAAGGGATTTGTTAGAAAGTGTAGGTACAACATAAAGTTGTACCATAGTATAGGTACAAGTTTGGTTTGTACCATAGAAGGATTTTGAAAAAGTGTAGGTACAACTAAAAGTTGTACCATCAGTATAGGTACAATTTTGAGTTGTACCATAAAGAGATTTATTAGAAAGTGTAGGTACAACTTAAAGTTGTACCATTAGTATAGGTACAATTTTGAGTTGTACCATAGAAGGATTTTGAAAAAGTGTAGGTACAACTTAAAGTTGTACCATGGTATAGGTACAAGTTTGGGTTGTACCATAGAACGATTTTTAGAAAGTGTAGGTACAACTTAAAGTTGTACCATGGTATAGGTACAAGTTTGGGTTGTACCATAGAAGGATTTTGAGAAAGTGTAGGTACAACTAAAAGTTGTACCATTAGTATAGGTACAATTTTGAGTTGTACCATAGAGGGATTTGTTTGAAAGTGTAGGTACAACATTAAGTTGTACTATAGTGTATAGGTACAATTTTTAATTGTACCATAGAAGATTTTTAGGAAAGTGTAGGTACAACTTTAAATTTAGTGTAAAGTTACAACTCTAGAAAGTGTAGGTACAATTTTTAGGAAACACGGCTCATCTCACGGGCGTGACATGACCCGTGACAATCAAAGAGTAGTTTTCCATCTCCAGACAATCACACGACTTATTCTCACGCCCGTGAGAATAAACAGATGAGCCGTGAGAAGTACAGCATTCAAATCCAAAACACGGCTCATCTCACGGCCGTGATAATGTCGAAGGCAACCCGTGAAACCCTCTGGGAAACTGAGACGTGCGTTTTTACATCCACGGCCTATCTCACGGCCTATCTCACGGCCGTGATATTTCCAGAATTACATATCCAAAACCACGTCTTCTTTCACGGCCGTGAGATTTCCAGAATTGGCCGTGAGATTTCCAGAAATAGTCTGCACAGACATGCACATGTACAACTAACCCTTGTACTTATTATAATGGTGTAAGTAACATAATATACTGTTTGTGAAAACTACAAGCTTATGAAAAGATGAGTCATAATGTTCTTTGAAGCTTGACACGAGCATTACATAGATCATTCTCTAGTAACTGTACATCATATCAGATGAGATACCCTGTTAACAAAAAGTAAAAAGCAGTCAAAGCTTTACATTTGTCTTATAAAACAAACATCCATAACACGATTAAATTTGTCTAATTAATGCTTAAGTTTAGATGCATGTAGCCCACACTGGTGCATCATAATATTCTAATTGGAAAACATACAAGCACAAAAGCAAACACACATAGCTAAGTACTAAGGACTTTGGTTGGCTCATCTTCACTGCCCATCTTTCTCGTTAGTGTTCTCGTCCTCGTCTTTGTTTTCCTGGATTTGCTCATCTTCATTGTCCTCGCTAGAGTCACTGCGGTCTTCCTCATTGGTCCCTTTGACCTCTTGATTTTTTTCCTTGTTTTGGTCATCGCCATTGCCCTCGTCGTCCTCTTCACTGCTGTCTTCCTCATTGGTCCCTTTGTCCTCTTCAATGCTTTCCTTGTTTTGTTCCTCTCCTTTCTCCTCTTGATTTTTTTCCTTGTTTTGGTCATCGCCATTGCCCTCGTCGTCGTCCTCTTCACTGCTGTCTTCCTCATCGGTCCCTTTGTCCTCTTCAATGCTTTCCTTGTTTTGTTCCTCTCCTTTCTCCTCTTGATTTTTTCCCTTGTTTTGGTCATCGCCATTGCCCTCGTCGTCGTCCTCTTCACTGCTGTCTTCCTCATTGGTGTCACTGTCCTCTTCAATGCTTTCCTTGTTTTGTTCCTCTCCTTTCTCCTCTTGATTTTTTTCCTTGTTTTGGTCATCGCCATTGTCCTCGTCGTCGTCCTCTTCACTGCTGTCTTCCTCATCGGTCCCTTTGACCTCTTCAATGCTTTCCTTGTTTTGTTCCTCTCCTTTCTCCTCTTGATTTTTTTCCTTGTTTTGGTCATCGCCATTGCCCTCGTCGTCGTCCTCTTCACTGCTGTCTTCCTCATCGTTCCCTTTGACCTCTTGATTTTTTTCCTTGTTTTGGTCATCGCCATTGCCCTCGTCGTCGTCCTCTTCACTGCTGTCTTCCTCATTGGTGTCATTGTCCTCTTCACTGCTTTCCTTGTTTTGTTCCTCTCCTATGTCCTCTTGATTTTTTTCCTTGTTTTGCTCATCGTCATTACCCTCGTCA